CAAGAAAGGAGAGGGATACAGTTACAGTCGTGCCCGCCAAAAACGACAGTTACACGAGATTAAGGGCGCGATCCATTCAGAGCCCAGTTCCTAGTGCCGCAAGATGTGCGCGAGTGAGAAGCGAGACGCAACAAAATTCAGAGTACCTAAATTCCTAGCCTAAGTCCTAATTGCAAAGAGGAAATTCTGAAGAGCCCAAAAACAATTCCGCGAGCCTGTGGGGGCTTGAAATCAGTTGAAAATTCAAAAAACGATATTCCCGCTCGATGATCGCGCAAAAATTCCTAGTGCTCACAGCAGAACAAGAAAGAAGCCATGGCAACCGTTGTCCATCGTGGTTACCCAATCGTCGGCGCGAGACTTTCCCGACACTGACCTGACAGATTCTCACGGAAAATAAAAAGAATTAGGGTATCCATCCAACTTGGCCCGACCAACCCATTTTCTCCGCAGCTCACCCATCTGACCCGTCTCATTTCCCCAAGGTAGCTTCGCGCAGAAAGTCGCGCGATTACCGAAACTGGTTCGTCACAGACCTTCACATGACAGTTACTGACACTGGGACCCATGCACCGGCGCACATAGCAGTAGTCCGCTTAACTACCGGACGACCACAAAAAAGTGATTTCATTCGGGGAAATAGTCCCCAAATTATGATGCAGTTGGGGGGCTGGCTACTAGTACCCATCCTAGTTATGCTGAGCTTCTTCCAGGGATATGTGAAGGTTTGGCCTACCGAACCAAAATGGTTGGAAGGCTTAGCCTACTAGATCAAAATGGCTAAAAGGCTTGGCCTACTGGACCAAAAGGGTTGCTGGCGGGGGTAGTGCCTGCGTAGCTTAGCTGAAATGGATGTTGGCATGGGGCAGTCCTTGTACTGTTCCAGTAAAAAATGATTATCCAAATAGAACATACGTGAGTTTTATTCCAATAGAAGGCCTGTGCGAATAGAACACACATGTACTGTAATCGAAAAACAAGCAACGTATGTGTTGCATTAGTTTACACCGTATATGCGTTATGTTGGGGGAAGACAGGAGCATAGCACAGACATAGCCGCAGTGCGCCCTGATACTAAGAAAAAGCACCAACCTCGCAATCACCACGACCTGGGGCCAACTCCCACTACTGGTAGCAGCGTTGAGTTTCCTTAACGCCCGTATCTGGACCTTTTTGCGGGGACGTGGGGTTGAGGAAACTCAAAGCGATTTCTGAACATCTCCTCAAACACGTCCAGATTCAGGCTTTGAGGAAACTCAACGCTGCTAGTGGGACTCGGCCCCTGGTCCTTTGGTTGCTCAACTCTGGCAGAATTCATTCACCATTGAGCTCCAGATCAGCATGTGGCTCAGATCAGGCTGTACTCTTGAGGGCGCAGAAACGGAGGCACAAAACTGTTCCCCGTCCGTGTGACCACTCCCCCCACTCCCCCCACTCCCCCCACTCCCCCATCCCACACACGAACACACGTCCGTAAACAAGCGATGCAGAAAAACACACCCACATGCATGTTCCGCTTATATACCCCAGGGCCGCACGCGCGTGCGCGCAGCCATTCGCACGCGCATGCACAAATGCACACACACACACACACAGGCAGACGCCCGTGCAGAAACCACTCACCCACATGCAGCCTGAAGGAGAGGCACCCTCTTCAGGCAAGGAAGCTGAACGGCGAGCAAAGGATTAGTGGCCACTCAGTTGCAACAACCCAAGGTGAGTTCAGAGGCACACCCCCTACTGATAGATCAAACCTCATATCTCGGACATATATGACCTCTCTTCCGACCCCGCATCAATGCACCTGACGGCAATTACGTCCACAGAGAACTAGTTGCGTACGAGAGGGTTGGAGATCATGATGGGGCCGGCCTCCCCACATAAAGACCGGATTTGTCAGGGAGCATTACCCCAGTTCTCTTTGATGAGCCTCCTTGGAGATCATGATGGGACCGGCCTCCCCACATAAAGACTGGATTTGTCAGGGAGCATCACCCCAGTTCGCTTGGGTGAGCCTCCTATCTACGAATCTGACGAGTTAGCTACAGTAACGTGAGTTCACTATTGCCTGCACTGTGCTCCAGGCCAGACAAGGCTGACCAGGGCATTCATTCCACATGGTAAAGGAGTAACGGCTGCCCAGTCCTGCGTGAGGAGGGAGTCTTTTCCCCAGCTAACCTATTTGTGACAGGTAATCGGCCTGCTAGGAACTCTGTTTATCCTACCAGTAGTTGTTCTGCTGTGTAGGGG